AGACCTTAAGTGTGCTCACAAGTGTTACATAAAATGCAATGCTTTTATTGGCCGTCCAAAGATTTACTGGAAAAAAAGGCAAGGTTAAGGTGAAAAGTAGCCGGAGGTTTGAGTTGGGGCGGGAAGGAAGGAAGACTAAGAATAAAGAATAGGTGAGAAAGAAGCTTCAGTGATGAATTGGAAACCCTTATTCAGGCCCCATGAGAAAGACAGGAGGGAGAGAAGGTAACTACACAAAAATAGTAACCCAGGGGAAGCCATATACCCATCCACAAGGACGTGTAAGGAAGGTGGGTGCAATTCTGGAAGGCAGCATAGGTTTTATGGCCAACACGCAGCTAGAAGCCTTGGAGGCTCCCTGGGGTAAACACTGGGCTGCTAATAATCACAAGGTTGACAGTTCAAACCCACCTGTTGCTCCATGGGTGATGAGCGTGATGGCTCCTGCAAAGATTGGCAGTCTGAGAAACCCCATGGAGTGTTACTGTGTCCAGCCCTGGTGGTGGAATGATTACGTGTTGCACTGTGATCTGCATGGTCAGCAGTTCGAAACCACCAGCAGCTCTGTGGGAGGAAGGCTGGGCGCTCTAAGTCTATCAATGGTTACCCTCTCAGAAGCCCACGGGGGCCACTGTGAGTCAGCATTGACTCGGTGGCAGTGAGTCTGGTTTCGGACAGTGTTGTAGATTTGGAATGGACTTGACAGCAGTGGTGAGTTTACTCTGTGTGAGGCTGAAAGGACAGTAGGAAGTCTCCAGCACGGGTAGGGGCTTCTGGGACAGCGAGTCTAAATGAATGGAGGTTCACAAGCAGAGAGGAAGCAACAAGAGTGCCGACACAATGTGGAGAATGTACCCAAAGTCATTGGGAAATACGCATAGGAATTGTCACATGCTCTCACCAAAACGTAAACGACAATGGTTACTACAAGCAGGGACGCTGGAGTCCCCCTATCTGGTTTTGCAACCTCACTTCCACCACTTCTTGCTATTTCAAACTTGAGTCTGGGTTTCCTCACCTGTAGTAAAATGAG